TCCAACTATTGGTGATTCTTCTTTGTTTCCAACTTTTGCATTCCAATCAGCAGTACTAATCAACACATCTTGATTGCATGTTTGGTCAATTTCTGATTGCAGAAATTGGTAAAAATCATCAATCTCCTCATCTTTGGCTTTGGTGTTTGATGCATAAATTTGAATGATAGTAGTATAACTGGTCTTTCTTCTACTTGTATGGATATTATCCTATCACTGATAGCATTCTACTTCAGGATAGATCTTAAAACATTCTTTGTGACAATAAATGCCACACCATGCCTCTTCATTTTGATGCATTGAATACCAGTGATGAAAAACCAGATGAAATATGGGGTGACATCAAGAACATCATACAGGAAGAAAGCAAAAGGTCACTAAAGACAGGAAAGGAATAAAAGACCACAATGGATGTTAGAAGAGACTCTGAAACTTACTCTTGAAAGGAGAGTAGCTAAAGCAAATGGAAGAAATGACAACATAAAAGAGCTGAACAGACTTCAAACAGCAGCTTGAGAAGACAAGTCAATTATTATAATGAAACGTTCAAAGACGTGGAGTTAGAAAACCAAAGAGGAAGAACATGCTTGGCATTTCTCAAGCTGAAAGAACTGAAGAAGACTTTCAAGGCTTGAGTTGCAATATTGAAAGATTCCATGGGCAAAATAATGAGTGGTGCAGAAAACATCAAAAGAAGATGGAAAGAATACACAGTGTCACTGTGTGGTAGCTCAGTTTGTGTGTCAAGTTGGCTGGGTCTGGTTGAGTGGCTGGGCAGCTGGATGTAGTATTCCCCATGATGAGACTGGTAGTCAACTCCATGGTGGAATCTACTGTGAACAGCTGAATATAAGCAGAAGCCTTGGGGAATGGTCTCTAGCTCATGGCATGATTGGATCCTGCATGTAGCTGTGTTGTTGTCCAGTAGCCTGCCATACTCTGCCCACCTTGGACTTACAATGGACTTAAATTAATGGCCTGCCATGTGGTTTGGTAACATTGGGACTGTGCCATTTTATTTGTCAACCTTGGGCTTGTTAGCCTCAGCAGCCGGTAGCTGCCTGAGTGAAGAAAAGCCTCTAGCTTCAGTGGGCCGGGAGCAAGGGGCTTTCACCCAGCCCCTAGAACATGGCACTTTGAACTTGGCTTAAAGCCTCCACACTGTAAGAGAATAAAACTGTTTGTTAAGGCCATCCCATTTGTGGTATATTTCTGTCAGAGTGGCACTAGGTGACCAGAACACACTGTACCAAAAAGAATTGGTTGATGTTCATCCATTTCAGAAGGTGGCCTATGATCGAAAATCGATGGTGTTGAAGGAAGAAGTCAAAGCTGCACTGAAGGAATTGGCGAAAAACAAGGTTCTAAGAATTGATGGGATACCCACTGAAATGTTTCAAGCAATGGATGCTGTGCTGGAGGTACTTATTCAACTATGCCAAGAAACTTGGAAGACATCTACTTGGCCAAGTGACTGGAAGAGATCCATATTTTTACCCATTCCAAAGAAAGGTGATACATAAGAATGTGGAAATTATTGAACAATATCATTAATAACACCTGCAAGTAAAATTTTGTTGAAGATATTTCAAAAACGGGTGTAGAAATAGGGAACTTCATTACTGATGTAGTGGATCTTGGCTGAAAGCAAAGAATGCCAGAAAGACTTTTGCGTTTTATTGACTGTGTGAAAGCATTCGACTGTGTGGATCATAATAAATTATGGATTACATTGAGAAGAATGGGAATTCCAGAACATTTAACTGTGCTCATGAAGAAGCTGTATGTAGACCAGGAGACTGTCATTTGAACAGAACAGGGGGTTCTGTTCTGCATGGTTTAAAATCGGGAAGGGAGTGTGTCAGGGTTGTATCCTTTTGCCATGCTTATTCAGTCTGTATGCTGAGCAAATAATCTGAGAAGCTGGACTGTACGAAGAAGAACATGGCATCATGATTGGCGGAAGACTCATTGATAACCTGTGATATAGAGCAGACACAACCTCACTTGCTGAAAGTGAAGATAACCTGAAGCACTTACTGATGAAGATTAAAGACTATAGCCTGCAGTATGGATTACACCTTAACATAAAGAAGACAATAGTCCTCACAACTGGACCAATAAGCAGCATCACGATAAATGGAGAGAAGATTGAAGTTGTCAAAGATTTCATATTACTTGGTTCCACAGTTAACACCAATGGAAGCAGCAGTCAAAAAATCAGATGACTTATTGCACCGGACAGATATGCTGCAAAAGACCTCTTTCAAGTGCTGAAGAGCAAAGATGTCTCTTTGAAGACTAAGGTGCGCCTAACCCAAGCCATGGTGTTTTCAGTCACCTTATATGCATGTGAAAGCTGGACAATGAATAAGGAAGGCAAAAGAAGATTTGATGCTTTTGAGTTGTGGTGTTGGCAAAGAATATCGAAAGTACCATGGACTGCTCAAACAAACTCACCTCACTGCTGTCGAGTCGATTACGACTCATAACAACCACTTCTTGGGTTTCTGAGGCAATATCTCTATGGAAGTAGATTGCCCAGTCTTCCTTCTGAATAGTGGCTGATGGTGGGTTTGAATCACCAGCCTTCTGGTTAGCAGTCAGATGCCTTAGGCACAATGCCACCAGAGCTTCTATGGACTGCTAGAACTAACAAATTTGTCCTGGAAGAAGTATAGGCAGAATGCTCCTTAGAAGGAAGAGTGGCCAGACTTCATCTCACCTACTTTGGTCATGTTGTCAGAAGGGACCATACCCTGGGGAAGGATATTATGCTTGTTAAAGTGAAGGGTCAGCAAAGGAGGGGAAGGCCCTCAATGAGATGGATAAACACAGTGGCAGCAATGATGGGCTCAAATACAGCAAGGATTGTGAGGCTGGCATGGGACCGGGCAGTGTTTCATTCTGTTGTACCATGGGGTCGCTGGGAGTCAGAGCTGACTCGATGCCACATAACAGAAACAACATCCGCTCTGTGGAAGAAAAACTTGGTAATCTGCTCCTGCAAATATTGCAGCCAAGAAAACCCTGTGGTGTGGTTGTACCTTGTCACATAGGGTTGTTGTGAGTTGGAAATTGACTCAGCAGTACTCAACAAAAACAACAAACATAGTGGACATTTTTCTGTCTTTGTTACTTAATCTCTTCAAGATTTGACTTTTTGGAGGTTGGGGTGGGGAAGTCATTGTCTCAATGAGTAGTAGCAGTTTTTCTTCAAATTTCCTGACTTATGTTTTCTGGTTGCTCCATGTAGAGCTCATCTTCCCTTCCACACTTGCCACACAATTTTATCTTTTCATTACATCTTATAAAACTTAAACTTGTCATTCCTCTTCTTAAAACCCTCCATTGGCTTTCTGTCTCAAATCTAGAGTAAAAGCCAGTCTTTTTCTGACCCAACCCCATATGATCTGGTTGCCTCTGATGTCTTCTGCTAATCTTCCCCTCACTGTTTCAGGTGCAGCCACAGTCGCCTCGTACCTGTTCCCAGAACAGATCACTCTGTTAGGGCATTTATACTTGTTATTCCCCTCTGCTTGGTAACTTCATGATTTGCACTTAGGTGTTTGCTGAAAGGTCACTTCATTCAGAGTTTCCTTTACTCATCATTTTCATTAACTCACTGCAACTCTCCATTCTTCTAGGGTGCTTTCCTTTTCTTTAGATGGTTTCACCATTGTATTATTCTTGTTATCTGTCTCTCCTAAACAGAAAGTAATTTCCACAAATGCATGAATTTTCTCTTTTGATACAGATGCATTGCCTAGACCAGGGGCCAAAAAACTTTTCCTGAAAGGGCCAGATAGGAGATATTTTCAACTTTGTGGGGCCATCTAGTCTCTTAGAAGTACTAAACATTGTTGGAGCGTGAAAATACCTATTGTAGTTAGGTGTCGTCGAGTTGGCTCCGACTCTGACACATCTGTCAGAAAATATCTATGGACTAGTAAAATTGGTATGGGTGTGTTTCAATAAAAATTGATGGACACTGAAGTTTGAATTTCATGTAATTTTCATACTACAGAATATTCTTTGGCTGTTGTTTTTCTGACCATTTAAGAAATGTAAAAGGCCATTCTTAGCTGACCAGCCTTGGAAGAACAGTCCACTGAGCAGCCACTGAAAAATGAAGTTGTGTATTGTTTGTCATTCTTGATGCCTATGTGTCTTTCCCTCTTCCTCACCTACAATCATACCCTTCCCCAAACACCCAGTATTTGCTGACCATTGAATATTAGAATAGCAAATACACATACTAGGCACAAATGAATGATTTTTAATTCTTACATTTACTTCTGTGTTTCAGGCTAAGTATTTTTAAATATGAAAATAATACTTTCTGCAATAAAATACTGGGATTTTAACAGGAAAATAGAATTAGTTCACTGTATGTCTTTAATCTGGGTAGATACTCAGCTCTCATAGAATTGTTTTTGTTTCAGGGAGCTTCAGATTTTCATTCCCTGAGGCTTAGAGGTAAAATGACTTGTAAGAATTAGAACTCAGATTTTAGAATAATCTGCCAATTCTGGTGAGACTTTCTATACTACATATTAAAAAGATTGATTGTTTTAAAATAAAAGAAAAAAAAGATGACTGTATTTTATTTTGATTCTTTAAAGTGAAATTGAGCATGGACCAGAGCCAGCATAATCTGTAAAGCATAGTTTGAAGAACAGATGTCAGAATGTAGAGTGTACAGAATGGCTGCTCTCCTGTCACCTAAAAAATTCAAGACTTTGGATCTGACATTTTACTTTTAAGATTGGGAAAAAAGAAGTTGTGGATTGTTTGTCATTCTTGATGCCTAGGTGTCTTTCCCTCTTCCTTACCTACAATCAGACCCTTCCCCCAAACACCTAGTATTAGACATACATTAAGATTGGTCTGGTCTTTGAGTAATGCTTTGTTTTAAGGAGTATGGACATCTCTATAGTTTTTATAATCCATAAATAAACGTTTGATTTTACAGTGTTATCAATGATCTCTCTCTGTAGATATACCCGTGTTTCCCACGATCACAGCCACTGTGACTTTTCAGGAGTTTCGGTATGATGAATTTGATGGCTCCATCTTTACTATACCTGATGACTACAAGGAAGATCCGAGCCGCTTTCCCGATCTTTAACTGACTTTGAAAATGATGTTCTTTATCAAGGAAAGTAAAAGAATGCAGAGACCTCAGAACTGGATCCAAATAGAAGGGATAAATGCTTTCAGCAAAGAAAAGGGAATTTTCCATTGAATTGACACATCAGTCATGTAATCAAATGGGCATCTAGTAAGAATTTCAGCATTTCTTGATGTGCCATTTTCAGTCTTTTTTAAAAATATATATAAGTGTAATAGTCTGACACCTTAATGACCCTAATACCTTCTCATGTAAAACAGCTGAGTGCTGTGATTTGTTTTTAAAAATTTTTACACTTCCTGTTGAAATATATATGCATATAAAAATATATATATCTATATATATATATATCTATATATAAAACACTCCTGGACCATTAACATAAATTAAATGTCTTAAGAGATATGAAGTCCTTTTAAACTTGTCATCTTATATTCAAGGTGACTATTTATAAATATTCCTTCAAACTTTGTTTTCAAAAAATATAAACTGTGTAACATTATGTATAGTTCAGTAATTTGAATGTTTGTTCAACATAATGAACTAGAAGGAATGCAGTTTTCTGTAGATGGATGAATCAAATGGTAACCATTAAACAATTGCATTTATCGTTGCAATACATTTCAGAAGGAGCGTTCACTCTGCAGGGAATAAGGTACCTCCCTTAGCACCTTAGTGCAATTCATTGTGGTGCTATTTGTTTTTACCTGAATTCTTTCTTCAATGGAAAATGTTTGTTACTAACCTTCCTTTCATAGAACTTTTTTTTTCCCCTAAACTTGAGTTTAACAAGTCCTTGCTATATGTTCATACGGTATGGTTAGCATGCTTAAAAATATTTATCTTCCAAATCATAGCACTTTAAGAAAAAAATCCAAATTTTTAAACTTGCTTCTTAATAAGTGCACATCAGTCTTACTTTGTGTATAGTGAACTATGGATACATTGGTGTCAATTTTAAAAAATAATCCTTATTTTGGACATCACATATTTAGTGCTTTCAAAATAAGGTAAACATTTTATATGCTAATGGAATATATTTGTTACAAGTTAAATTCCAGAAACCTACACAAGATTGACAATGCCTATTTATTTTTTTAAGTCACAGGAAAATATTAATTTGTTTCCCAAGTGTTAAAATCGTACATTACTAATTTTGCACTTAAAATATTTCATATTTATTCCAGTATGATTTGAAGGTCCAAGAATGAAAATAAACTAGGGAGAATAATGTATACAGTTATTAAGTGTCATGTATTAATGAGCTTAATTTACAAAATGTATCCTGATGAATTCCCAGAATGCATCTGTCAAGTTTTTTAGAATGACCAGTTTAAACTTCTTCCAAGATTTTAGAGAATTTGAATGGGTTTAGAGACCTTTTTTTGAAGATTTATTTAAAGATACAAGTTATCTTTAAATAAATATAACAATAAACATTCCATGCTGATGCATACTACATTGTATATGTTGACATTTTATCAAAATACACTGTATAACAAAGGAAAATAATCGGTTAAAAATTCAAAGACCTAATTTTAAGAAGAGTTGGTAAACTCAGACTAGCTTTATTGAATAGAAAGTTGATCCTTATGGAATGGTTATTACATCAAGTGAGTTAGAGACGGAAATACTTTCTTCAGTGGTTTTGTAAAGTAAGAGACATTGAAAGGCATCGATGAATGATCACTTGCTCTTAGGCTCCCTTACTCTGTGGCTAATAGAGGACCAAATTTCCGGAGTATACAGCAGGCTTTTTCATAAGTGCCGACACCTAGAGGAGAAAAAAATGGTTAATTGCAGCTTGGGATTTATTGACTTCTTAAAAGCTGTGAACACTGCTGAAGTACACTGGAGGTAGGAAGACTACTGAAACTTTTCCACTTGGATTTTAAATACTTACATTTTTCTTTAATAGTAGAAACACATTATCCATTCCAAAATGTCTTTTCTGGGATCATAAAGGACAAGTAATTGTCAGTATCTCTTCTTCGTGACTATAAGGAATTACTTAATGTAAATAAACTTTTCACAATATTAGGTATTTTTTGCTATTTCAGAATGTGCCTTTTAATTCAGTTAATGAATGAAGCTGTACTCTGTGCGTCAAATGAACAGACTGAAAAACTGTATTTTGGTAACATTATGTGAAAATCTAGATTTTGTAGTCTGGATCATTCTGTATCTTCCATTTGTGATTGAAAACGATAAGGTACCAGAAAAGGGGACCAGAAGATTGTCACCTTTAATGGCCATTTAGAAATGCTCAATATTCCTGCTACCAGTATGGGATCACGAAGAAGGTATTTTCGTCTTCAAGAACATTGTTTTCTACAGACAAGATGCCTCTCTGTAGCTGTTCATATATTATATAGAGAACTGTCAAACTTCATAAACCAAACAAACCAAACCCACTGCTGTCAAGTTGATTCCAACTTATAGTAACCCTATACGTATACGACAGAGTAGAACTTTCCCCATAGGATTTCCAAGGCTGTAAATCTTCATGGAAGCAGACTGCCTCATCCCTGTGAAGCAGCTGATAGGTTTGAACTGCTGACTTTGTGAATAGCAGACAAGCACTTTAAACACAAAGGGAGGTATGAAGCAGATGCCTTGACTATTGTGAACGTTTGTATGAAACCCAAACCTGCCATCCAGTCAGCTGCAACTCATAGTGACTACCATTGGGTATCTAAGGCTGTACATCTTTACGGAAATAGACTGCTTCATCTTGCTCCTACGAAGCAGCTAGTGGGTTTGAACTGCCGATCTTCTAGTTAGCAGCCAATGCCTTACCCACTACACCATCAGAACTCCTTGAATATAAGCCCAGTTGTCCCTTATTAACAACATGGGTTTAAACTGTGGGGTTCACTTACACATAGATGCTTTTTCCAAGATTGATACTGTATAGAAACATTTTTAGAGAAGTGCAAAGCAAAAGTCAAATTACAATTAATGTTGATAAGGTTACACTGAGTGGGCTCATCTCCACCTCTGGTACCCCTGAGATACAGATCTGAAAAACTAGTTCTCCTCTCCCACTTAGAACTGGTGGTTGAATCCCACTCATGCAATTAGAGATGCGTTTTCATAATGTTACTACTTAATTCACACCTTGCAGGAAGGTGGGGAATAAAGATTGTTTGGGTGGCCAGCTCTCTAGTTTTCGCTAAGTCTAATAGCAGACAAAGATCCTGTTCTGAGGCAATGAAAGTAATGGAGTAAATACTGAATCAAGGACTTCTGGGGGCACAGTGCCTAAGGCATTTGACTGTTAACCAAAAGGCTGGCAGTTTAAATGCACCATGGCTCCGTGGAAGGAAGATAGAGCAGTCTACTTCCATAAATGTTTACCGTGTTGGAAACGCAATGGGCGTTGCTATGAGTTGGAATTGACTTGATGGCAGTGGGTTTCCTTTTGGTCATAGCAATCCTATAGGGCCCTGACTTGATGGCTGGGTTTTTTGGCCGTGTGCTTGGAGTTCCTAGGTGGTGCAAATGTGCTTGGCTGTTAACTGAGAGGTTGGAGGCTTGAGTTCACCCAGAGGTGCATTAAGAAGGCCCTGGCAATCAATCTCATGAAAAATCAACTAAAACCTCTGGAGCACAGTTCTACTCTGCACACCTGGGGTCACCATGAGTCAGAATCCACTTGACAGCAATATTAACATGTGATAAATGAAGTTTTTAAAATTGTAGCTCATTTTAGAATAGTACGTTTAGCCACAATGGCACCTAGAATACACAGAATACACTTTTCCCACATACTGAAGCAACATCTGTTAAGGGTTTTCAAAGAAAGGTACTTGTCAGTCAGTGGTGGTTTTGATCATGTTTTGCAGATGAAAATTAAAGTAGAAACCTTGTGTAACACAAAAAAAATCCCTACTGCTTATGTACCCAGGGTCACATATATTTTATGTTAAAACATGAAATTAACCACTTCAGATTAGTAAGCATGAGTAAGCCTGTGCTTACCAGGTACTTGGTTGGTCCTTGTCAGGGATTATAAATTTGAAGAGAGGCTTTGATTTTGTAGTAAGGTGGTGTGGGGTTGAAAGAAATACAGATGCCAGTCAGCCATCCCTAGAAGTAGAATCTTTGATGTGAAAAATAGGAAATTGTTGACTACAAATTAGTAAGCAAGCACAAGAAGCCTGTGCTTACCTTGCTTATTCAGTAACAGGGCACTATCATAGAATTCTTGGTCACTAAATAAGGAGAATGACTAGCTAGGATGTTTTAAGGCTGCCTGACGGTATAGTGGTTAAAGCCCATTTTAAAAGGAAGTAACAAATGTAGGTGGTATAGTAGGAGTTTTGGAAGGCAGGATGCAGAAACCATTTGTAGCTCATACACATTGTGGCTCATCTGCTTGCTCATTTCTTAGGGATGAGAAAGCAGCTGGGCCTGCAATCAGTCCACCTTCCCTTGGAACCTCCTCTAGCTTCTCAGACTTCAGGGTTTTGCATGTGTTTAGATCAGTAGCAAAGGTTCCTAGTCACCAAGGTCGGAAACCAACAAGCCCTGGCCCAGGTTTCAGTCCTTGTGGGCTCCAGCTCCTGCTGCTGTTCTTGCTTGCTTACTGTTCTCTCCCACCAGACATATATTTTCCCTTCCTGACTGCCAGTGGTCTTCAAGTTCCAGCTTCAGATGAAACCATTTAACCAGTTCCTACAATTGCTGAGGTCAAGTATCTTTTATAGTCTCTCCTAGTAGTTCTGCTTCTTTCACCAAGACCTGACTGAATATTGATTTTGCTCAAAGAAAAAAATTCTTAATCTACATGCTTCTTCCAAAATGGCATTTAAGCAAACCTAAGTTTAACTCTATCATCTTACTGAATTTTACAGTTTTAGTGGCTGTGCACTGGGAAAGTATAAAAAGAGACCGTTTGGAAAGAAATTGTACATGTCATTTCTCCTATTTTTGTAAGCATACAATATGGTTATTTTGAAAAGTTTGTAAAATTACTTCATATCCATTCTTGGTGAACCAAGACTGTGAACAGTATCTTCAACAAAACAACTTAATATATTCTTAAGCATATTCCTGCTGGTAAAGAAGTAGCATGGTCCACTGCCAAATTACTCTGGTAGGATCTAAATTTTCCAATATACTGTTACATGCGAAAATGAAAGCAAAGATAAAAAAAATAAGTTAACCAGAGTCACATATCTACAACTTCAGAGTTAGTCTCATTGAGAAAATGGAAACTATGTCTGCTAAATAAAGCCTTAGCAGCAGACATTCTGAATGCTCTTTAAGTACCAGTAACAATTCCATTATATACACGTTTAACTTAACAGCTACATAAACTTATTCAGAGAAATATTTTAAATAGGACAGGGATTAAAATGTATTTTTCAGATTTGAAATAGAGACTGAGGAACAGAAATCTCAATTCCAGTTTAAAAGATAAATATATCAGTCTTCAAAGACAATGGACCCTAGACACTTCGTGCTCAACTGGAGAAAGTGATACTCAGTGATACTATGCAGGCTATGGGAGCTCTGGTAACATAGTGGCTAAGGCACTTGACTGCTAACCAGAAGGCTGGTGGTTCAAACCCACCAGCCACTCCTCGGAAGGAAGGTTGGGCAATCCTACTTCTGTAGTGATACTGCCTCGGAAACCCAAGGAGTCAGGGCTGACTCGACGGCATGTAACAACACCACCACCACATGCTGTATCATGCCCACAATAGAATGTGACTTGTAAAGTGCAACTCTGTGTTGTTAGTTTTCACTTCTTTTGTAATAGAAGCCCAGTTTCTCTACCTCTGTGCAAGTACTTACGTTTCCACATTTCTACCTCCATAGATATATCAGTGGAAAGCAACACAGCCTTATCCAAGCCTAATACACATGTAATTTACACCTTAGTGCTTTTAGTTAGTTTTCAAAAGCACTATTATCAAATAGCCAACTACTGTATATTGATCCAGGCATTGGTTGAGTTCTTTTTCTAACTATCAAATTGTAAGGGAGGTATACTTCCAGTTTTACAGATTAGCAAATGAAGAACGTCTCTCAGTGATCATTAATGGACTCTTAGCTGTATAAGCTTGTTATACAGCTACTACCTCTCACTCGTTCCTGGTGCATTTAATCAAATAAATGGGGCAAACATTTTTCTAACAAAACCACTTTTATTTTTTAATCATTTTTACTACCAAATACAGAACAAAACTCAGTGTGGAGGCAGTGTTAATTTGATTTCAACTGGTTATCTGTGTTAAAGGCTTGTGTCCCAGTGCAACCCTACCTTTGTGGAGAAAATGTTCACTGAAAATAAGTATCCAAAGTATAGATTCCCTTCACTCCAGCATCTTAAGTCAGTGGGCTATTTTATAGCCAGTTTCTCAATCTATTTTAGAAAGTTAGTGTATTTGCAATTAGAGGTTACAAGTGAGTAAACAAACTTGAGTAAT